TATATTGCTCCTTATACATACGATTTATTGCTCATTTAAATAAATTATTGCTCGTTTAGTATAATTATTGCTCATTCAATACTATTATCGCTCATTGAATTTTATTATTGCCAAATTTCGTTATTGCTCGTTTCGATTTTATTATTGCTCATTTAAATATAAGTCACTAATTAATTGACATTTGAAAACGTCCAATATTTCCGGTATCCAACTTTCGAACGCACGAAGAGCAACGTTTAAGATAGAGAGTGATCTCAGACATATTCCATTGATCGAGCTGAACAAAGTATTCAATAATTCAGCATGTTCATAGAACACAACAACCGAAACAATGTTTTGTTTAGGAAATATTTGACGAAAATTACGACAGAATTTTGTTTTCTTACGAGACAAATTTAGATGAACATTTGGTGTATTATAAACAAGTTTCTTGAACCGATGATTGAGACCAAAGAAAGATTTATAAATTTCATTACCTGTTAGATAATCAAAAATATCGAAGAAAATCTCCGTTAAGAATTGTTCAAACGTTGTATTTGTAGAGATTCGATTATGGTGATGTTGAGACTTCCTTTTTAACTTAATCATTTCGTTTTATGATTAAAATACAGATGTTCTATTATAATTCTTTGTCAACAGAGAAGAGACTTTTATATGCCAACAATGACTCAATATGACTGTATAAACATGTATGAATTCACCATCAGATATTGATGATTCAACATTTAAACAAATGTTGTGCAATTAATTCGTACCATGCTGAATTTCGCAATGTTTACGTAAGACAAAAACAAATATTGCTTTGTCTTGATCATACTTTTAAAGTTAAACAGTTTGAGAGTAAGAGCGTTTTTTTTTCATTCACATTCATCGTTATGCTCAAGTTTTAAAGTTAGTACTAGAAGTTTTGGAGTAGAAAGCAAAAGAGTAAGATATCGTTACATGAAGTAAATATGTATATTACACGATTTATTACAAGCTAAACGTATTACATATTACCTTTTTTTGTCAAATAATATACTCTTCAGTTTGAAGATTTATAAGCCTCTTCGATATTTTTTTCCTTTAGATTCAAATGTGAACCATGCTGAATTGAATGTTGTTATGAGAAGAAAGGAAGAGATTTTTCTAAGTTACCAGTAATAAGTAATACACATATAAGATTGTAAAAATACTTTTAATCATCAACTAGATTTGTGCTATCGTATAAAGGTATAATGACAACGTTATATCTACTTATACCAACGTATATCGTTCTGAGTGTTGGTACTTTATTGAGAACTCAACAATATTTTTAATTTTGACGAAATGAAAACATTTTTTTACAAAAACAACAAATCAATAGCAAGGAGATTATGCTCTGATTTACTCACTTCGGGGTGTATAAAATAGCTTTATTGGTAAGTGAGGTGGCTGGGTGTGAGTATGCATAAACACAAAACATTCAAGCTCTCACTCATGTTCACACCCTTCGAAAATTTCAGGTAGTATATTTCATTCGGTAATTCACGCTTTACCATGCAGTACAATTATTAATCTCAGAAACAGATAAAACAATACGTATCATCAAGGACTATTTTAAGCCATTGTAAGCACTTTCAAGTTTGAAAATGTATTATTTCTTCTTGTAGCGGATGCGCTTCAAAGGGATACGCTCATTCGTACTGACATCCTTCTCATTTGTTTAACTGAGCATACCTCATTTAAAAGCATTAACATCAAAGTTTCTGTTTGATGTCTTCTTCTATTTTTCAAGCATTTTCTATATACATAAAACTTCATTGATAGATAAAAAAGGAAAAAGAAAAAAAAACAACTTCATCATATACTTTATTTTAAAAAAAAATTCTCGTTTTATTTCATCTTTTTCACATTCTCACCGTTGTTCTTTCTTTCTCATATATCATTATATATATATTGCGTATTTTAACAATATTATCAGCGAATATTAACATGGATTTTCCTTCAATTATTAATCGAATATACATCTTTATTAGCTGTTTAGATTTTATCACTGCGTTTGCAATTCTGATCCTAGTCTCTTTCTATCACCGTCGATGTTTTAATTTTCCAACACTTTTGACTTGTAATACTGTATTTGCTGTTTTATTAAGCTCTGCTAATCATATAGCAATAGCTACCTATATGTTTATATGGGATCAGTATGCAGAACCTAAAATTGATTCATTGTGTGCATTCCGTGCGTATTTTCATCATTGTACTATTGCTTGGGTTCATCATTCATTTATTTTATTAGCTATTGAGAGATTTTGTAAAATTCGACAATTTACAATTCTCAAAAATCAACAGCGAAAGCTGTGCGTTGTACTTTTTCAGTGGATATTTGATTTCACTTTTCCTTTACCTGTTTTCATTACAGGTAATATGACAAAACTTGCATCAGATAATGCATGTTTCGTATCATTGAAAAGACTTGACTTGGCGTTTTATATGGCTGGAGTGTCTTTTCTACTAACCGATATTGTTTTAGGTATAATCTATCGATTATTAGTTCGTCACGTACGTCAAGCTTCGGCAAGACTCAATAATAATCAACAAGTGCGAATGCAACGAGATTTGACTGTGGTTCGTCGTATTGTTATACTAAATTCTCAATTAGTTGTAATAGCAATACCAGTCGTTGTTGTTATCATTCTTGCCTCAATTCGTGCTGATCTTTTACCTAACAGAATAATGCGTGTCTTATTTCTGCTATCGAATCTACCTTATACACCTATGCTTATCATCCTTTTATTTCTGACACCAGATCTACGACAAAGTTTTATCGACTGTCGGAATAATTTAAAATGGTGTCGCCCAAGAAACATCGCTCCTGTACAAACAATAACGATTACTGGTCGTATTTGAAGGAAATATCATGAGGAGCTGCTTTTTATTCAACAATACATCACAAGACATTTTCCTATTATCTTTTGAAGATTTTATATGTAATAAATAGTTTCAAAAACAAGAAAATATCAATTTCTTCATGCTAAAACGATGTAAACTGTTCTAAGTCTAGAATGTACATAAAAGGTGTTTCATACGGGTGTGCGTGTAGGTGCGGATCTTAGTTGAATATATGATTTCGACCACATTCACATCGACACCTTCTCACCCACACTCAGACTCTCAATCTTATTTTATTTTATTTGTGCATAAATTTCCTGTGCTCATCGTTCACCAATCCATTTAGCTGATTATTTTCTTTCATTTATTCTACTATTATTACATTTCTTTATCATTGTAATAACATCTGAAACGTAAAAATCAAAATATTCTCGAAAATACTCATTAACTCTATATACTGTCTATACTTAAGAAAAATACAATATGGTTTGTTAGATGGCGACATCTTAGTTTGTAGAGAAATCAAAAATATGATGAAGAGACATAATTTGTTGATCATATTGCCTATAGAGAACAAAGTGATTCATGATATATTTTCATTTCTATCTAAATTTCGTATAATAATATCCTTATTGTCAAAAAATCAGTTCAAATGCCCTTTCTTTCTGACATACAAGCCGGTTCTCAATTAAAACTTCGACCAACAACAACACGTGTGACAAACTCATTAGGTCAAACCTATCACGAATGCAAATCTGATGATGGAATATTTGAAATACGTGACAGAACAAACGATTCAAACGGTACATTTATGGTAATAGATAATTCACCCGATGAAAAACTTCATCATGTCATTGATGGTCTTTATATTGGATCGCAAGATGCAGCATCTAATCTACCATGTCTTAATGAATGTAAAATTACACATATACTTAATGTAGCAACTGGCATTCAAAATGCATTTCCTCAACAATACAATTATTTAAATATTGAATTGTTAGATGTTCCTGAAACAAATATTTCGAAAGTATTTACACAAAGCAATCAGTTTATCGAGCAAGCACTGGCCGATAATGGCTGTGTATTAGTTCATTGTAATGCTGGTATTTCACGTAGTTCTAGTATTGTCTTAGCTTATTTAATAGGAATACATCGAATGCAATATGAAGAGGCATATCAATTATTGAAAAAAGCACGTGTAAATATCAGACCAAACGATGGATTTGTACGACAACTGAATGAATATGCAGCTGAAATCGAACAGAGATATCATTCATAATATAGATAGTGTATATTTGTTGTACAGCCTTTTCTTGCCTTTTAATAAAAAAAAATCTATATAATTCTTTTGGTTTACGTGACAAACGGAATAAGAAAAAAGGATTTAGGATGGAATAAACGAGATTCAAAGCATAAAAAGTTGTCATGTCAGTCTCTAGTAGAAGATTTGTTGTTGTAGATTATTTGTCAATTCCTATAGTAGGATCATTGGACACTAATGATGATAATTTCAAATTCTTGATTTTGACGATGTGAACTGCCGAACTGTTGTTGACTTTTGCCGACGACAAAAACTCGTGCGATATACGTGATGTATCTTTATAATTCAGCGCCATTGATTTACGTCGGTTTACAGTAGTTGAATTACTTCGTTTGAGTTTTAACGGTGCTTTATCGTTTGTAAGCAAGGTTTGAGAAGTTGAGCAGTGCGATTTTGATGTCTGTATTCCTTGATCAATCGGTGCTGACGCTGTTGCTCTAGGCAGTTTTATAATGCTAACGTTCATTGTTCCAGTACTTGGTAATTTAGAACAATCGATCTTGTCAATGTTATCGGTATCTGAGAATGGCTCTTCAACCTCGGAATTTGTTTCGGTTGATAATGATTCATTAAAACTACTTTGATGAATTAAGCTCGCATTACTGGGATGATTCCGTTGATATTTTGGTACATTATTTTCGTTTTTGTACTTATTACTAGTATTTAATGGATAAATCATAGCACTTTTATGTGTTTTGTGATGTTTGTCATCATGACGTCCTCGTATTGACACCAGTTTCTGTTTGCTGGGTAAAGTTGACGTAAGTAAACTTAATCTAGGTGATGACTGTTCACTACGAAATATAGATTTCGTTTGATCCCTCTTTGGTTTTTGTCTGTTACGTCGACGATCGGATCCATAGCAGCTAGAAGATAGCAAGTCATTAATGCTATTAAATTTGCAAGCTGAGAAGAAATAACTTACAACAACCACCACCAACAGCAACAACATAAAGTTAACAGAATTCCCAAGCCTAATAGTGATAAGCCAATGACCATTGGTTCATTTATATTATTAGATATTTTCGCTTCTAAATCAAAGGTACATAGTTTGACTTTATTGAGAGATATTCTTCAAACTTACGTGCATTCGCCAAAGTATTAACAGCCGTTGTTGTTGTTATTGTTGTTGTTGTTGCAGTTGTTGTTGTTGTACTGATAGCGGTACTGCTTGTGCTCGATCTGAAAATATACAATTTTGATTCACTCTTTAATAAAGAATGAACTACTTAAAGTAATTCTCAGACAGGATTAATGTGGATATAGACGCAGTAGTACATGAGGGCGTGAGTGTGGATATAGGTATTCAATTTACCTCTTCCACTTACTCATACCGTCACCCACCCACATCCACACTCTTTTACAAAATGTTTTGTGTCTATAAGTTCGAATCGCAAAGTCTAGAATAGGTAGTTGGTGAGTAATTTTTTATCTAGTTATTCTGATATATATATTAGCAAAAATTGTTTTTTCGACGTCGATTCTCTAATTTTTCTAGAGATTAGATATTTTTCTCAAAAGATAAACGCAAATTAGATGTTAATAAGTTTTACCGAGCATATACTTACGCTGTAGATGTTGTCGAAGTAGTTATACCTGGACCTAAACAAAACAGATTTTATTTTTGCAGAAAAACAAGATTTTTTATTTAGATTTACACAAAGAAGTTTGACCAGCAGGAACTACTGTAAATGTAAGACAGTATTGGTTCGACTGAATGCCCGCACTACAAAAAATTTAAAAAATAAAGCAGAGGAAGTTATTATAATTCTATACATATAATACCTGTCTGTGGCTAAGGCACAATATACCTGAGATCCGATTTGTGAAATTTCTGGTGTCCATGTTTCAGTTATTGTCCAAACATTGGTCGCTCCAACTCGTGTTATATTTCCTTTATACATATACAGTGGTGGCATGGTAAACAGATCTGTCACTGTAGTTCCATTACACCCTTGTGAAATGCTCAATGTATAATTAAATTGAACTCCGACTTCAATAGCGGTGCATGGTGATAATGTCGAACTAATCGTCGGTTTTAATGGACAAACAGGTGTGCTTACAATAGTGATTAAAAATTGTAGAGGAACACTGCTAAACGGTGTCGGCGTTGATAGTGTAGCAAAATCTTCAATCATCAAGGCCATTGCATAATATTCTCCCACCTTAGTGCCTGTACTATTGAATGTTAGCACACAATCATCATGGTCAAGTGTAGCGCTTGATACCGTTTGGCAGACACCACCACATTCGTCAAAAGTAGACGTTTTATTCGCAAAACGACAGCTGAACAAAGAATAGTAATTCTCTAACAAAAGTCGAAGACAGGGAATATATCAGATTACCGTATAAAATCATTGTCGGCATCAATTGTTGGAATTGGTATACGAATTACGCTATTAACTGGTACTCGAATAGCTAGAAAAGGAAAGGAACGCAAGTGTTTTACAACAGGTCACTAAGAAAACAAAAAGTTTTCATAGAAGGAACGTTTTTCAGAAGAATAAGGCGATCCTGGAATGAGTGTTGGTGTTTGATTGTAGTGAAAATGCATAGATTATCTACATATCTATATCCATTCCTTTACATCACTCAATTATTCTGAGGGTGGGTGCGCATGAGAATGAAAAGGATAGTACCCACACCCACACCGTCAAGAAAGTACAAATTGAATCTCCGATGATTTAAAAGGGTAGAAACTAAACCTGGGTGACAAAAAAAGCTTCGATGTATACATACGTGAAATAATTGTAACAACTGGTGGCGTATTAATCACTCCATTCGACCTGACTGTTAAATTGACACAAGTTCCGATTGACCAGAGCGCACCTACACTATAAGATAAAACACGAGAGTAAGTACACTACAGTGGTGTATTAGTGACAAGGGTGTGGGTGTGAACTATATCATTAACCACACCCTACTAGCCTAGGAATTTTTTCATAGGTAGCTCACAAAAAGTCTAATATTTTAGATTTATAAGTTCCTGAATATGATCTTTTATTTCAACAACAGAAATCGTTAAAAACTTGTTAGCTGGCAGGCCAAGCTATGTGGATTAGTTCGATCATCTGGCAGATCACCTCTTAACTTTCGAAACTAGTTGTTTCTATCATTATTTGTAAAGTATATTTCACTTCTTTTACTTGCGCTCTATCACCAAGATTGTGTTTCCATTCATTATTAATACAAAAATAGTTCCAATAAAATTCTCAAATGAAGACAACACTATACTGCTTGTATGAACGATGTAGTTGTAACATGGTGCTGGTATGTAGTAGTCTGATTTAAAAGTATTGATTCTTTTTTGAATACAATACGAGTTACGTGAGTCAGTGATTTTCAAAAAGCATTCAATCTCTTATCCGCGGCAATATATCAGAGGAACATATAATTCTGAGATACCAAAAACTTACGTATACGTTCCAGAAACTTGTATCCCTATCCAATTTCCACTTTGGAACGCCACACAAAACTGCGAACCAGCTGCAATACTTTCAATTGCTGAAATTTGGCCTGAACTTGAACCGAGCAAGGTACTGAAATCAGTACAATATTCACCAATGTTTAAAGGAGTGTAACCGCCGCAAGAACCAGAAGTAGTAACACAACTAAGATAGCCAGCTCCGTTTTCTAATAGAGGCGATTGGTTCGAAATAGCAGCCTGATTACAAGGTGCAGAAGATAGAGTCCATTGATACGATTGTGTGAACATCACGTTAATTTTTGAACCCGCATTTGTGTAATTAATGAATTTCCATGACACTGTTCCACCGTGAAAATGGCTTGATTGAATAGACGAAAAGCAAAGTATTAAGAAGATATATACAGTGCTAATCAACATTGTGATATTTTTCTAGAACAATAGAAATCATATGCCTAAGACTTATTTCTCTTTTCGATTAATATCTAAGTTCAAGTACAAATTTCTCTGAAGGACTCAAGGTTATTTGACGCATGTTAATGTACTTTACCGTCAGCGACTTGCCTTATAATGCAATCAAACGATTCCGCGAGAAAGTTTCTTTTTCTTTTACTTTATTATGTCTCGCATTATTGTTGACGTAAAATACAGTAATTGAATTTGTTTGGCTGCTTCACTGAGGAGAAGAAAAGAGATTTGATTGTTTAATCAACATTCATAACCTTGTTGAGAAAGCCTTGAAGAAAAATATTTCTTTCTTGATGGTCACTTATATGTACTTGATGACAGTCAAAAATAATCAGGTATAATCAGAATTTTATATTCTTTGAAAAATGTCTGTAAAAGTGGGTGGGTGTGGGTGTGAGTTTGGGTGGATTACAGTATGAGTAAATAGAAGAGGTAAACTGAATACTTAAACCCACACCTTCAAGTTGAGGAATAAATTTTCCTGAAGAACTCAATCCTATTTGACGCATATTAATGTACTTTACCGTCAGTGACTTACCTTATAGTGCAATCAAACGATTCCGGGAGAAAATTTTCCTTTTCTTTTACATTATTATGTCTCGCATTATTGTTGACGTAAAATACAATAACTGAATTTGTTTGGCTGCTTTACTAAGGAGAAAAAAAAGAGATGTTATTGTATAATCAACATTCATAACCTTGTTGTGAAAGTCGTAAGGGTGAGTGTGGGTGTGGGTAATGATATTCAGTTTACGTCTTCCACTTACTCATACCGTCACCCACCCTCGAAAAAAGAAAAAAGTTAAGAATATTATTAGTTTATAAAACCAATGAAATGAATTGCTCAGAGAAACGAACATACAATTACATATACATAAGAGCATTCGAACTTTACTAGCCATTTGATTTTTTTTTGAATCGTCTCATCTAAACAATTTCATTTTGGTAAGGTCTCCATTTATATCATTTAAAAAAAAGTCAAATAAATAGTTTAATTAGTTATATATAGATTGCAAATATATGGTTGAAATATTCAGAAGAACCGAGGGTGTGGGTGTGGGTGAATGTAGGATAACTCTACATCTACACCTAAACCACCCACACCCACCCACATGCTTGGTTAGGTCTATTATATGTGCTTTTCTTGCAAAAGACATACGTCATGATTTTTATTTTAGTTTACATTTCCTTAAAATATGTTTAGTTCATGATAATGATGATTAGTACTTTATTTCGAAATACGTAAATAAAAATGAGAAAAGGAAAAGACAAAAAGCGCTGGATATCAAATAAATGATGCAAGATTATAAAGAGTAAAATATTTTAAAACTTTGTAATGCTCATCACCATGCCAATCGAGGCTACGACAAACAAATTTAAAGTGTTAATATCTAATTTGGCGATTCCATTTTTCACTCCTAAAACACTACAGAATGGATGGTCCCAATTTTTTACAGTAACATAGCTACTATCAGAATGGAGAATGACAGAAGTATTTGTAGAAAATAGAATCATCCATCCTTCATATCCACTTGTATGAAGGTAGCCCGAATATGTAGTGATACCATTGCAGTCACTGCCACTCACAGGAGAGTTAACTGTATATGTGTTTGCTGAAGTATTTGTTAATACAACTTGTCCAACAAAGCAACAACAAGGTGTATCATCACATGCTGTTCCAGCTGTATAAACACCAGCCCATGATTGCGAATGAACTACAATGAGATTTGATGCTATGAGAAGAAGTAAGAATGTTGAATAGAGCATGTTTTTGTCAATTGATATTCACAAGGTTTGAATGAAAAATTATTAAAAATATAATTAATGAAATTTATACCTTTTATACATATTTAATTGCATTTATTTGCTTAGAAAACTATACGAAAAACAACAAACATATCATGTGACTCCTATGAAAACAGTTATGTTCTCTCGTTCTTTACTTCGTTGACATCCAATCTTCCAACAGATGCAGACAAATTATATTTATTATTAAAAAATTGTGTTTGTTTTTGTTTCACATATATAATATCTTTTTCAATGTTGAGAATTAAAGGATCGGTTCAAGGGTAAATTTCGAGTGCAGCAATTGCTCTTCGATAATTATTTTATTTCTTGAAAAAAGTTCGAGTCAAAGAAATCGAGTTCTTATACAATTCAAAAACAAATTTATATTGAATCTGTGGAGTAGAAGTAAAATTCTCAATGACTTGCTGATAATTAGCTCGATCCTGTCGAAATATCGAGCTCTATTATCAAAATGACACTTTGGGATCGTCTAGGCTTTTATATCTTATTAAAGAGGGTGTGGGTGTGGGTGTGAGTGATTTGGGTGCAGGTGTAGATGTAGAGTCATTCTTGATTCACCCACACCATAGCCACCTACCCACACCCTCAAGAACTAGTTTACTCAGTGATTAAAAGACATCTATTGAGTCCTTTAGTCAGTATGAAATTGTATACTAAATCACATTCTTACAATAATTAACCAATATCGATCAAAAACTTATATCGTATTGTTTAATGTATTATATAATACTAAATAAAAGTATTCATTAAAAAATACATGATACAAATTGAAATCATTTATAGTTCATATTCATTTTTTATGCTTATTATTAATCCACAAATATACATGTGCTTGAGTAATTTGACAAGTAAAATTATTGATGATTCTCCATCGTGGTACATTTTTAACAAACCATTCATGTCCAATATCTCTTGTTGCATGCTTTTTGTTGTGTTGACTCGACGATACTGTTTTTAATTCGCATATAAATGTACACAAATGTATGTATCGTTCCAAATATGGAATGATTTCAAGACGATGTTTTAAATAGATTTGTAAATGTTCAAGGTTGGGAAATAAGTAACAGAGATTATCAGCCTTATTAACAGTACAATCTGTATCATAAAATCGAAGTGAACGAATTTGTTCGAATGAACAATCTTTTAGATTATTTTTTCCTAATGTATTCAATGAAAGACAAGAAACAATAAGTCGTTTTAGTTGAGGCATTACAGGTTTGACTTTTATTAAGATTTCTAAAAGTTGATTTCTACCAATATTGAGTTCTTCAATTTGATTAAAAATAACAATAGACCCAAGTCGTTCAATCCAATCATTATTTATAAATGAACTTAAAGTTATTTCACGAATATACATATAATGATCAAAGAAAGGTAATGAACCATCTGTTATTGTTGGTTGAGAATAATCGTTCGAAAAGTGAATGCTTTTTCGAGCAAAACGAGGTACAGTTTTGAAACTAGAATCAATAGGATCTAATACAACAATCCAGCGTTTTATGTTGAGCCAAAAAGAAGAACGAAATGTATTCGGTGGAATATTATTATATTCATATTGATGTAAATCAAATTTAAAATCAAAAGTAATAAGATTAATTAAATGACGAGTCAAGAATATTTCCCATTGATTACCATCGATAAGATCAATATCTGCCGAAATCTCAAGCTCGAGCTGTTCTAAATGAGGAATACTAGAGAGTAATTCTTCAAGTTGTACACGCGATATTGTACGATATCCTTGTTCTAGGGGAAGAATGATATTTTTATTTTATTTTATTTTATTAAATCAAAATATCATTTATACTTACTGTGTTGAGCTCGAAGGTTGAATCGTGTGAGATATGGATATTGTTGTTCAAAATGTACAAGATTCTCAGTTTGTATTAAAGACATGTTGACATACAGTTCAGTTAATTTTTTACATGATTGAAATATTCTTTTCATTTGTTGGAATGGATGATTTCGAAGAGATATTTTCAAATGTTTATGATTTGATAATGAAGTATTATCATCGTACGATATGTAGTTATTGAGAGTAGAAATTTGAGATGAAATAGTACTATAAGTTAAACCATAATTTCTATATCTGTCTTGTGCGGAAAAATAACAATATTTCTATGATCGATGACGTCTTAATTTGTTATAATTCTCAGTAGTGGTACGCGTCTTTTTAAATACTGATTCGAGTAATACCAGTGAACGAAGATGAGAAAAATCACGTTCTATATTATATATCGATAAAAAAACGTTCGGACTGATATGGTGTATCAATATCATCAGATAGAATAAGTGTTACAATTTGTTCGGATTGAATATATTTACATATAAGATCAAATTGAGATTTGAGAATCGATTTAAAATCGAATCGAGATATGAATGAATGCCAAAGAATGCATAGAATATATCTTGACCCCATAGATAACTAAACATAATCTGTAGAAGTTCAACTGGTAAATCAATAAACTGATAAGAGTTCGATATCATAATTAAACTAGATGTTAATTGTTTCGTAAGAAATATGATTATGATAAATAAATCATTAAGTTCAATATTTTGTTGTCAAGTGAAAACAACCTATGTATGGTTATACAAGTGTTAAAAAGATGTCGTACTATTATGTACATATAAAGCATAGACAATGCAAATCAATATTTTCATCCAGATTTTTAACAGTTTTGAGTTCAAATATGGGATGTATAGAAAATATCAGCTAATCAATATAGTATACTTATGTAATGATAAAAACAATTGTCACAAATAAATTACCTTTGACTATATACACAATAACATTGATTCGTGACTAAATCATGACATTTAAGAATACAATTCTATGAAGAATGAAATAATTCGATTGATTTTTTGTCATACTTCTAAAACAAAGTGTCTTCCAATGAAATCATCTATTAAGGTATCAACAAGTAAAATACTCTGTGATTGAAAAGTAGAAAGTTTTCATATAGAGTTTGAAAAAACTATGTACGTATATACTTAGGTCTTCGTATTACAAAGACGGTTCTATTCGAAAATTTTCTTAGTGTCATAATAGTTGAAGATTGATTCCTCTAGATAAGTAGCACTTGTGTTGGAAATTCTGTTTGTCTTCTTATTGATATCCCTCAATGGAACAGTTACGTTTTTAAATCAAAACTAAGTGTAACAATTATGCTTCGTAATAATATTTAAGCTATATTTAACTTTTAGAACTAAATTTGTTTTTCTTCTAGAAAAAAAATCTTGAGGGTGGGTGTGGGTTCGTCCTTGATTCACCCACACCCACCAACACCCATACCCACACACACATCCTCACCGAATTTAGTTTTTCATTTGAAAGCTATTTTTAGAGAAAAAGGATTCAACTGTTGTAGGAAATGTATTTGCTGAACCGTATATAAACAAAATCGAGATCGACAATTCAATATATTTTAATTTTGAGTTTCGTATGATTTCATGTTGAGTCTAGTTGTATCTGTTCGACTAGTTCAATAACTTCATGCCAATTTCGAGCTAATCTGACCGAATCAACAAAATCCGGTTGAAATTTTCTTGCACCTTCAATCTTCTTTATATCCGAACAGTACCAAATTTTGATAATCGAAGATGGAAACGTCGATAGAACATTCATTCGATCATCAATCATAATATTAACATGATGATCATGAGCAATTTGCACTTTTTCTCCATATTCTATACAATAATATGTATTGATATGAGATAAGTTGTGCTTCTTCAGCCATTCATTGGATTTGTTTTTAAAATTATCCTTGCATTTCGAAATGAATATCAGTTGATTCGATGGATCTTGCGATAATTGAATGATGGATTCTATGGCATTTTCAATTGGTTCATCCGTACGATGATCTTTGATCACACCACCAATGTCACAAGCAATGACAGTAATTGATTGAGCACTCATAACAAGAAAGATTATCTAAAAATACTACTCAATCGTACAATTGATAGGCGAAAAAGCTTGATGATGAACTTCTACAATACTTATTTGCTATTGATGTAAACAGAAAAATGTTTAGAAATTGAAAAACTGTAGACTGTAAGTCGATAAGGTGATATTAAACGAAAACACACGCACTTTACCATAGATGATTACATCGGATTGTGCTCGAACTTACTGGTCACATACCATTTGACAATAGTAACTGTGCAGATAGTGTTATTCATTGTAATATATATCGATTTACATCAAAATTCTCTATCTAATTGAAGCACGACTATTTTATAGTTTCTTATACTGTGCTGAATCATCGGCGAGTAATTGTGCAACAGTGAAAGAAAATGAGTAAGCAATGTAATTGCATAACACCGTGATAAGAACGATTTTCGATTGATTCAATCAATCACTGAAATAATGACGCATTATATTTCATCAGAATCGAAAGAAAAATATCGACATGACTCAAAGAATCTCAATGAGAAATAATTGTAAGCCATGTTTCTAGCGTAATGTTATGCTTGGCTATGAAGGCAAGTAGAAAACATTATCTCATGGCGAATTTTTATTTCCGAGGATGTAATTGAATGTCAATCTCCATGTAATCCATATCCTCCGAACGAAATGAAATCTATCGTTTTCCTCCATCAACTCCGTGGAGGCGAGAAACAAGATATATGTGGGTTCGACTGCAACCAATCTGTAGTTAACTTAAATGTAGCTCTTAGTATACATCAAGACTTCCACCTTGAGGGTAGGTACGGAAGATGACTGTGTCATCATAATCATCTACACCTACCAACCCACAACCGCACTCACACCCATTTTTAGTATACTGAAAATGATTATTGTCAAACGTTAGTCATGATTCTTTAGCAATTAAATCAACAAATCACAAAAAATGATGGATTTATTCTAAAAGAGAAAAACCATCAAACATCTACTCTATGAATAATTCAAGCATCATAATCATCATTTAAGTCATTCTTCTTTTCCATATCTGGATGATGTTTCTTGTAATTTCTCTCGATTACTATCAGCGGTTGGATGTCGTCTTCTGTTATCTTATCACGAATCCATTTGAAAAACTTCAGAATAGGATTTTGAGCATCTGAAGATTGATCATCTTCGATTTCATTCTTTACATGAACTTCACATAACCAGGCAGATGGTTTGACACGATCTGATTTGGTGTCTGACTTATTACATCGACAATGCACACAACTGTATAAGAGATATAAAACAAATCGTGCAATTATTTTCAATTGAAGATGAACAATTTCATAATCAAAAAATAATTCATATAACATTTTATTTCTTTGAAGGCGTGCCTGAATTTTCAAGCTTGGAATTTCTCCCACCGCCAAACCTAAATTGTTATATTTATTATATATACATCGTATGAATAAAAAACGTTCAGAACAAATCAACTTACCAATCAACATATTTGTAATGAGAATAGTTAGAATAATTTCAGTAAGAATGAAAACAAAATAAATTGCTGGATAGAACATAACACCTTCTGGTGGATTATAAATGTATGATATATAATATTTTAATATACATTTTGAAAATAAATTAAGTTAAGAATATTATAATATGTCATGATAAGGGAAATTTAATGACTATGCGAATGAATTATGAAAAATCAGGAGAAATTCAGGATTTTTGGCCAAAAGTAGGAAAAGCAGGACGTTTTTAAAAAATCAGGAAAAAAACAGGAAAGTATACCGGCTGCGAGGCCTGGAGTCAAAAGAAATCTATCATTTCGTACGTTCAAAATTTGATCACTCGAAGTTTTGTCTACTTGGACAACAAAAAGTGGAATTTATACAATAAACGAGGGTGTGTGTGTATGTGAGTGCGAATGAGTATAAGTGAATAATGAGAAGAAATATCCACACCCTAGCTATTCTCACACACCCACACTGTGAAGATACTTTATAATGCTTTGTAGTATGTGATATAAATTTAAATAGATCATGAAAGTTATATTAATGACGTTATCGTAGTTGTTATCTTTTGTATATTTAAAGTGTATGTGAAAATTTTTCTTGTTATCACAACTCAGTTTAGAGTCACTTATTAACATGCATTTATTTTGCTTTCTCATTGCTATTTTCTTTTCCTTTTCTGGAGCAAAATCCAATGAGTTAACATCATCAGAACTTTGGAATTTGTTCAAACATGTTCATATGAAACAGTATGTCAATGTTGAAGAAGAAACTTATCGGTAAGAAAGAAAATTCGAATCAAGAGTATTTATGTTATTAAATTCTGTAATATTTCTAGTCAAACTATTTTCAACGATAGAGTTGCCATGATTAATCAACATAATCTTGAAGCTGATTTGGGGTTGTACACTTATAAACTCAAGATTAATCAATTCGCTGACATGGTATAACTATAGATTGATTATGATTATTAGTTTCATAAATATTGATCATATTTAGACACATGATGAGATTGTACAAACTGTGTCGAATAAATTTCAAAAGAGTCGAACTACAAAGATATCAACTAAATCTAATCGAAACATATTTCGTCCGCCACCGAATACATCGATACCAGCTGCTGTTGGTCAGTATCTATTAAATGAGTTCTTCTTAATTACATATATATTTGTAGATTGGCGCGAGAAGGGTGCTGTAACTTCGATAATTGAGAGTCAAGGTCAATGTGCTTCGGATTGGGCTTATACAGCAACGACCGCACTGGAAGGACAACATTTTCTTAAGACAGGCAAACTGGTACGACTTTCAGCTCAGAATCTATTGGATTGTTCAAGTGAATTTGGTAATGATGGCTGTAATGGAGGACTAGTCAATGCTGCATTTCAATATATCAAAGTCAACGAAGGTGTAGATACAGAAGCAAGCTATCCCTACGAAGCATTGCAAGGTCAATGTCGCTTCAATCAATCGACTGTGGGTGCAACTGATACAGTAAATATTATATCTATGTTACTTTCTTTTTTATTTTCTGTTTTATTCATCCTCTAGGGTTTTGTCAATATTGCAAAAGGAAATGAAACAGCCTTACAAATAGCTATTGCTACTGTGGGTCCGATTGGAATAGCGGTTGATGATTTACACGATTCCTTTTTCTTCTATGCATCAGGTGTTTATGATGAGCCGGCATGTATAACTACAGATTGGTCTCACACAATGACTATTGTTGGATATGATACATTTAATAATGGCACAACTAAACAAGATTATTATAACGTAAAAAACTCTTGGGGTGACACATGGGGCTGGTATGGTTATATTTGGATGAGTCGCAATAAGAATAA